AAGGTGACCAGATTTTAACATTGGTAAAGCGGGACACCATTGACGGGGGCGGACTCTTTTTTTTTTTTTTTAACCAATCTTAGTTTATTTAAGCCATCTCCCGCCACAAGTAAAGGGAAGGAAGACTGGCAATCATATGATAAATGAAGGTGAGCTTAAGGTCCTGTACACTAACTCTGGTCCATGTGCAGCAGAATGGTCCAAACTGATGCCGTGGTCCCCAATGTCTGGGTAGTAGTCTAAGAGGTTCTCTTTATTCATCTTCACAACCAGTTGGAAGCGGATTCAAGTGAGGGTTGTGAAATAGTATGGTTACCACCTCCCCAGGGAAAGGGCTTGGTCCTGATGCGAAGATGGGAGTAAGGGATGAACTCAGGTCTCTCGTGTTCTCCGTGGCGGGATTTCAAGCAGACATTCAGCATACTCACTACCAGACCGGGAAGGGCTACGAAGAACGTGAGGGCCCTCCACATGCGAGCTGAGCCCTCCTCGCCGTGGACACCACTGGACGTGGGCCACCTCAGCCGTGGGCGCGACCGCCCCAACAGCCCAGAAAGTCTGAACACAGCCGCTGCCATTTTTGACCTGAACTGCCTCCAAAAATTGGGATTTCTTTAAAACGCCGCGGGACGCAGGACAAATTGTTAAAAAGCAGGAAGTCTGGTCACCTTAAGTTAAGCAGAAGTCCATCTCCCTCTGCGTGCTCTGTGGTCTCAAGCGCTGTGGGGCAGAATTAGAACTAAGAAGCTCACAGCCCTGAGATCCGGGCCAAGTTCAATTCACAGTCAGACACCCTCAGCACCTCTCCCTGTTTCTTCCTGGGCAACTTTCTCTCCCCGTTCTGCTCCCCTTTGTATAGCCTCTATTTGAGAAAAATGACACAAAAATTTTCAACCCAACATTTACAAGTGAATCTGTATAAATCCCACTTGCCTCTTTCCATTAAACAGAAAAATGCCTTTATGACACGGCTGGATGACAATGGTAAAACAAAGCGTCAACTGTGTCATTCCCGTTTGTATTATACTTGCGACTGGAATAATCAGTGCAGGAAAACCTAACCTCCCTACTTGTAAAGCTAATTTGCCTTTTCTATTTTTTTTTTTTTCTTTTGAGACAGAGTCTCACTTTGTCACCCTAGGTAGAGTGCAGTGGTGTCATGGTTCATACAACCTTAAACTCTGGGGCTCAAGCAATCCTCTTGCCTCAGCCTCGGGGGACCTGGGACTATAGGCCCTCCCACAACACCCGGCTATTTTTAGAGATGTGGGTCTCACTCTTGCTCAGGCTGGTCTCAAACTCCTGAGCTCAAGCAATCCACTGGCTTTAGCCTTCAGAGTGCTGAGACTACAGGCTTGAGCCACCTTCCCGGCCCTTAAAGACCCTATTTTCTGGTTTGTATTCGAGTTGAAGGAGACACCCCCAGGGAGTGTCTGTTGGGGGGGGGGGCGTTATGAAAGAGCCAGTTCCCATGTCTCAGATGTCCTCCCTCTATGTGAAAAAAGGCATCCCTTGTTTCCCAAAACCCAGGAGCAGAAAAAAGAGGAAAGAAGAGAGACAGAGAAAGGTCAGGCACCCCAATTTTTTCTGACAGAACTTAAGGTCCCAGGACCTTAAAAAGCCTAAAAATGGGTCTGGTGTTAGGCTTGAGATGAAAAGAAGATGAAACAATTTGGGTACCAGACTCCAGAAGGGAGCACAACTCCAGGCTAAAACACTCTAGTTAGGACATAAAGTGAGGACAGAAAGGCCCAGAACAGGTGAACAGCAAGATAAGGGTGGGGTTTGTTTGGAGCTATTCAGAGACCTTACTCACATTTGAATGGTAGTTGGGGTGAAATCCTCCAGGGCTCTCCAACAGACAGGCAGGTCCCAGAGTCCTGTCTGGGCACAACCACACTAGGTTCTGAGAAAACTGGGGTGACTGGAGAGACCAGCAGCCAGCTTCCAGTCAACCACCAGTCTGGGGTCTTCTGCACCATATGGAAGGTAGGAACAGTGGCATCCAGAGAGGCCACAGAGGAGATGTTCAGGCCAGGTTTATTGAAAGGGGAGGGTGACCCACCTGGGCCATGCAAAGATGGCATCTGTGCCTAGGGGCAGTTAGATACCTCTTCTATATGGGGCCTGACCAGTGGGTACATTCCACACATTGCCTGTCAGGTTCGGGTCTTTGAGAGTGAACTTCTGGGGTGTCAGCCAGATCCTTTGCGTCTTTGACTTTGGAGCAGAGGAGGAGGGGGGAGGGGGGAAGGGTTTGTGTGTGGCTGCAGTAGGCCCCCAACACTATGATCACACCATTGTACTGCAGCCTAGGTGACAAAGTGACACTCCCATCTCAAAAAAAAATAAATTTAAGAAAAATTGGTTCATCAGAACTATTTCAGATCACTAGCACCATTTAAATAATCGCTGCTTCCAGTCAATGAAAGCAAGGTCGAATTTTCAGTTCCTGAGAGGTCAGGCAGCATCTCTTTGTTCCTTGAGCAGCGTCTGACTCTTCTGAGAACATCCCATATGTATCACCACAACCAATTTCATTACCCTGATTTTGCTTCTTACTCCCTTTAAGGACCAGAAACAAGAGGGAATCAACCCACTCTTCACCACTGACCCACAATTTACTTTCACTTAGTTTTTGGCTCCAGTGTGGCTTTCTGGAACCCTCTGCCTCTCATCGCTCTCCTAGGAATACGTCTCTCCTTTACTCTCAGGTCCCTTAACTCTTTACCTGCTCCGCACCACTGTGATCACACTTCCCACACTGTATTATAATTATGGGGCTCTTCTCTAGATTATAAACTCCCTGTGCCCCACTTTGGTAAACCCAGTGCCTGGTACAAGGAAATTCCCAGTCAATGTTTTCTCAATGAATTGCCTGGCTTCCTCTCGATGGCCCTGGATTATGCTTTTTAATTTAGTTTCCAAGCATACTTCCTTCCCCCAAGGTTGGGGCCTTTTGCTCAAACATTGGCCTGGGCTTCCCTTAGCAGCCGCGCCAGCTACAGAGCCCTCTCATCAAGGTCATGACATTCTGCTCCTCCCTCCTGGCCACAACGAATCTTGTTCCACCAAGTAACCATTCTTCTATTCCAAGTGAGAAATAAAGTTGTCCCTGAGTATTCTTAGACACAAAGGGACAAAGATAAAATAGTGCCAATCTATTTCTCCTATCTGAAATACAATTCTAAGAAATGCTATCTGATAGGCCAATGACCACACATACAGCTGAGCACTTAACCGGGTAGCAGGCATCATTCTGGGCTCTACATGTTGCATCTCAATCCTGCCAGCACTGTGAGGAAGAGATTATTGTCTCCATCTTAAAGATGGGACAACTAAGCCGTAAAATTTATGTCACTAACTAAGATTGACATAGCTAAGTAAATATACTATTAATAGCAGGGCTGAGATTCACACCCAGATCTAACTCCAATGCCAATGTCAATGCTATTTCTACTATAAACCAAAGCCCTACTAAAGTGGTCCTGAAACTGGCCTCTACCAAGTGTAACTCCTGAACACACTGGAAACAATGAGAAACCCATCTTCAGAAAGGAAGACACCAAGACTAAGAAAGGTGTAAGGCTTGGAAAGTAAGAAAAAAAAAATCTTTTGGTTAGAAGAATTTGATGACAGTTAAGACAAACATACCATGTTTCTCAGAAAATAAGACACTGTCTTACATTTATTTTTTCTCAAGAAGACAC